CTGTAGGAAGAAAAAGGGCTGGGGCTCAAGCCCACTTTGAGTCATTGCGTGCCTATTGATTTGAACACGATCCGTGTATCCATCATTTCCTGGTCTTCTCTAAAGAAGAGGGACCAATGAAAACGTTGTCATGTTGCCGTTGTTCAGCATGGAAACATTCATTAGCTAACAATGACATTATTGTTCTATTAATATAAAGGGAGGTCAGGTACTCTTTAAAACAGCTGCTAGTTATGGGTACTTTTTACTTAAGTACATTTCAAAGCCTCTTTACTTTGACTTGAGTAAAGAAGTTTAGTCAGTACTTCTGCTTTCACCAGAGTATTTTTAAACACGAGTATCTGTACTTCTACTTGAGTAAAGGATGTGTGTACGTTTGCCATCTCTGGTCGTAGTGTGTGTGTGTGTGTGTGTGTGTGTGTGTGTGTGTGTGTGTGTGTGTGTGTGTGTGTGTGTGTGTGTGTGTGTGTGTGTGTGTGTGTGTGTGTGTGTATTTACGTGGAGTCGGTGCCCCAGTGCATGGCGTAGATCTTGGCCAGGTGACCCCTCAGAGTTTTCCGGGTCTTCAGCTGGACCCGGCCCACCACCGTGACGCCGGCCGCCGCCTCCTGCAGCGTGGAGTCCTGAAACGTCTTACGAGCTGCCTGTGGAGCACACACACACACACACACACACACACACACACACACACACACACACGTATTAACTAAAATACCATACTTAAGTTATATTTTGACAAACTTTAAGTAATTACTTTCGACTACACTAAATTTAGAGACAAATATTCTTTTGTCTACACAACATAATGTTTCTACATGTATTTGTTAGTGACATAAACAGGATATTATACTTTTCTTTGATAATTTAACTTGATAACTGTGAAAAGTAGTGGTGGGATGTAACTAAGTACCTTTAATCAAGTACTGTATTTAAGTATAATGCTGGGGCACTTGTACTTGAGTATTTAAATTATTCTTTGTAACCGCTAGTTACTGGTTACTTTGTGCATATATACACATAACACATTTAATGCAATATGATGTCAACACAATATTCATAAAGTGGCTCCATTGACAAATGACAACACTGAAATGCCAGTACATGCAAAACTATATTCAAATGCTTTGAACTTTATTTGTTTGATGTCAAAGTGAGAGGAACGTAATGACAGATATAAGCCAAATTGTTAATAATAATATTGATGGTCCTACTGACGTTTAATGTTATGATGCAGTACGGCACTTCTATTGGTTCTCCATTGACAAACTATATTTAAATTATCTACGGTACGGTAACATTTCCTATGATAAAATCACACTGTAAAAAATGTGTCATTCTGCGAACCGAGTACTTTTGACATTTGAGGTAAATTTGATCCCAGTACTTTTACTCCAGGGAACCTGTTAGATAATTATGAATGAATTTATAAAATGCAGATACATGTCAGTGAAATGAGCCACACATTCTCTCAGATATTTGTTAAAAAGGTATTAGAATTAGTCAGAAGATTTAGTATTTTAACACCATAGTATTTCAACTTTTACGAAACTAAAGGATCTAAGCAATCTGTCCACTCAGCGCAGAGATATTAAAGATATGAATTCAGGTCAAAGAGAAAGAACAATAAGCTGCATTGTTTATCGAAGACGATATGTTTAGGTATACTGACAGTGATCTGGTCTTTCAGATTTTCCATCTCCTTCCGCAATTCCTCCATTTCACCCATGGCGCTGGTCGTTAGGTCACCAGTGGAGACAGGGAGAGAAAGATGATGATCCTGAAATCAAGACAACAAAAACAGACATTAGTCACAATGAAATCTGCTTCTAAAAATAAAACGTAGAAGCAGTGTTTCCTGTGAAGAAAAAGAGAGAAATACTTCACGCTGGAATTGTACCTGCTCCTACCTGAACAATTGTTATTCCTCCCTAGCTCCAGTGTCAAGTGAGCGCTATTTTGCAAGTCAAACTGGCGCTCGTCTACTTTGCAAACTTTCATAAACAGGCAGGACCCACACACGCAATCCTGCACACACACACACTCAACACACACACACACACACACACACTGAGTATATGAGCTTGACATTAACAAAGTATTTTCTCTTCAGGTGACGAGACATCAATGGAGAGCACACAACTTCTCCCTGAATGTACACACAAACCAGTAAGTCCTGTAACAACAATGTCAGCAGCTCCAACTTCTCGACACATCATTCACAGCGCTAACAATTTAACACTCCGGCGAGCGCCCACTTTAATAAATAACGGCTATGGAATTAGGTTAATGTCGTGATTAAATGAGCAATGTTTGGCAGCAATCACCTTAATGGACAGACAATGTAGGACAATGTCATCAAAGCTGATTTCACAGAAACAAAAGGACGATCACTTCATGAAAAAAGCTGGAGAAACCATCTGTGGGTGTTTGCACCTGCTATATCTGACTGTATATGGATTTCAATGACTACTTCTTTTACGAGGTTGTATTTTAGTGTTGCCTCTGTGTTTAGTGTCCTGTCTGTCTGTAACTTCTCAACAACAACAACAACACGTGTTAAACAAGACTTATCCTCCTCTTGTGTGGATCTAATTCTCACTATGCTATTTCCTTTTTTCTTACCTTGATATGAAGAAATACTCGCGTTGATCTTATTGCATGCGTCCCTCTGTCTTTCACTATTTGAATGAGTGTCCCTGTCAAAACACATGACCGAGTGCATTTGCCTCTAATTTGTTTGAAGTGAAAAGGAGAGGAAGGGAGTGAAGGAGGGAGGGAGTGACTCTGGAAGAGAAAGATATTTGCTTGAATTGTTTTGCCACTGGGCTTTATGCTTTATCTTTCTATAATGCCTGGAAAGGATGTGTTTGAATGCAGCTAAAGGGCTGATTCAAGGCCTTTTATAGCAGCACCTCTGAAGCCAGTGTTATGTTTAGGCCTTTGGTTCCAGATGGTGAACTGCCTTCAATAGTGATTGTCGTAATGAGTGTTTTAGTCTTGCTATTAGCCTTTTGCCATTCTGTCCCTTGGACCCTGCCATTGTTGCAAGTGATTAAATGACAGATAGGGCTTGCTGGATGGTGAAGTGCATTAACAGCTACAGGATAGGGAGGGAGGGAGGGAGGGAGCGAGGGGGGGTACGAGGCGAGAGGCAGGAGGTGAGTTTCTAAATCCGACTGGCTGAGATTTTAAAGGGAAGCCTTTTGAATCAAATCTGCTCTCATCCGATTACTGACTGCTCTTTGCATCTGGATAAGAGATGGAGAAAGGGTGGGGATGGTGGGGGGAGGGGGGAGATAGTGGGATGAGAATGAGGGAGGGGGCATATGGACGACGCAGGGAGAGTTCTGAGGATGGCAGCCGGTGAAAGGTGGAGTGTTTTCGGCCTGTGAACTTGAGACAGATTGCACATTTATCCAAAAAGCGCTTTTTCTAATTTGTGGTCCAACAACAAAACATGGCTGTCGTTAATTTGATTAAAACATATTTAAATCGATTCATTTTGTGATGTAGCTTCATATGTTTCCTGTGTTCCTCATAGCCGGTTAACACACCAAACCTGGGTGGTCTGATGATATATTAAGTGAGATGAAAACACTGCTTCCTCTGTGACCTGACCCCGGATAAGCGGTAGGAAATGGATGGATGGCATTTGATCAGAGAAAGATTTAACCACATTGTTCATACTGTTATAGCTGATTGTGAAGTATCTATGACTGTACACAGCTGTTGTGAGCAATGTCTTCAATCAATAACCAGGATTTGTTTATGCTAATATGGGATTTTGATGTCATAATAACCTTAAATGTGATAATGTGTAGTTTTTGTCCGCTATTCAAAGCAATAAATACACACCAAAATGAGACCTAAACTTGACTATACCACAACTCACATCAGTATTAAATAACATATAACACAATCGTGTCCATAGTGCCAGAGCCTAGTCTTCACCAACAAGCCATTTCCCCCTCCTTTATAAAGTGCATTTCAAACCCTCTGAAGTTACATTTTCCACGACGCATGACACATCCACACAAACAAGCTAGCATGGTTTTATGATGCAGATTATGTCGGACGGTATTAACAAATCAGACAACAAAGAGAATTTGTTTTTATCACAGATTAACAATCTACACGACAAGACCTGTGTTGTCCGTGATCCCATGTAGATCCCCCTGCTGTGTGCCAGAACCACAAAGTATTCAAGTGCGTTTAAATGTGATTTGAGTGGCATCTCCATATTTGATCATGTCTTTAAACGTACTGTAAGATCACGAGTATATGATATTGTAAGGATCTTTTAACTATAGGGGTATTCATTGTATTTAGGTAAAGGATATATAATCATGTCAGTCAAAAAGGTCAGGATTTTTACTCAATTATAACAAATCTTGGGGATAAATGTCAGTTTGTATCCAACCTTTGCATGTGATCCATCGTCCGAGCAGTTTGACACAACTACCAGGAACCAAATATGTAAACACAGGAGCATCCACTCACCGATAAGGAGAGTCCTCCGGGTGCTTTGGCAGTTCTTAAATCACTTTTCCTCCAGCGGTCTCCCCTCTGCTCGTTGTCATAAGTTCAGCCGCCCTGTGATACACTTTCTCCCGCTCATTCACTGTTGGTGTCACACACACACACACACACACACACACAAACACACACACAGTGGGATATTCCTCCGTCACACACTCTCTCTACTGCTCCTATGAGGAACAGATGAGGATTGGAGGGATGAAGGGAGATCAGTGATGAGGGGATAAACCCTGGGATGGACAGAAAGGAAGAGGGGTGGGGGGTGGAGGTGGGGGAGAGTAAAAAGAGACAGAAAGGGAGAGGAGACTGTGGGAGAAACCAAACAAGGTGCAGAGCTACGTTATGGGGTCAGAAGACATAAGCTGGGGGTGAATCCGAATCAAAAACTAAGAGATGG